TGGAAACACGTTTGCAGTTTTTAGCTTTTGATTCTTTTAGAAAGATGTCCGAAACTGAAAGCCCTGATTTTTACATGTAAAAATAAAATGAAATGTTTATTTTTTATTGATACTTGCAATTCCATATTGTTATCCTGGATCTAACTAACCAAAGTCTGTTTGCATATGGACTCCGATATGAATGCCTCAGAATTACCTGGTTATTTGTTATGTTGTGATTTATATGGCGTTGGATACCAGTAAAATCCAGGACAGGTGCTTCACCTTAATTAAAGCTGATCAGCTAAAAACGCATTAAAGTTTCGTTTATTTTTATCGGAACTAGCTTTTATGCAGTTATTCAACAGTAAGTAAAGCGTCTGTAGGTAACAAACTTCTGTCGTTTAAATTCACAGCAACCTGTTTCACGGTTTTCATTCAGTATTGTTTGTCCTGGTCAGTGTTCTTTTTCTTTGCCCCTCTGAAGTTTGAAAACTCATAGCAACGATAATTATATCATCTTCATATTGTTTATCATATCTCAAATTACCCATCAACATCGATCGAGAAAATATCTAAATAACTAGAATAACCAAGAAAAACATGAATTTCTACTGATTCGGTTTTGTTAAGAGACCGGACTTCAAGAATTTCAGAAACGTGTAACCTTCTGAAAGAAGAAAGGAATGAATGACATTTTCGAACCTCTTTTGAGAGTATCTTTTTGCTTAAATTCCTTCAATAGTTCTTGATAATATCACAAACTTTGCTTTTAGTTCTACAGTATGTTGATTATTACTACAGCTAAATGAAGAGTAATAAATGATTGTTCGCTTGTCGGTTTATCTGGAATTGACTTGATATTCACTGTCCATTATTATATCAGTGTGACGAACATAAAAAGCATTCACTTCAATACGTCTCTTCCCACAGATGACTCATTAAATTTCCAATATTTTCAATCACCTAGTCAATAAGAGCACTGCCATTTTATAATTAATTGTGCTAAAATCGTTCGAATATAGGTTTTCTCACTTGGAGGGTAATAAAGAATAGTTAATTTAAATCTACAAGGCAGCATGAATTTCTCTTAAGACTGAACAACTGGGTTATGAGTGACTGTCTATGAAGCCTACAAACAGGTTTAAAGCCTCTACTTTGGTTGACATCTTACTGCATCAAAAAAGATTTGAACGTATAATTTGCTAAGTTTTTGTTTCCACTGGAGTCAAAGAAGCAATATCTATCCAGTTTCATACTTTTCACTTGATGAACATAGTGTATGCCACCGTCAGACAGAATACATCATGACAAGTTTTCATACAGTATTTAGATATCCATATAGCAGTCTATTTATCAACAAAGGCCGGTCAATTTGGTCTGGCATAATAATCAACAAATAATAAAAATTATCAAGCATAAATGTTAACACTTCTAATAAAACCTAAATAAACATTCAAACTAGCAAACGTTCATATGCAATAACTTTCAGCTACTGATTCAAATTACTGGCAGTAGAAACTGCTAGTTTCATAGTTCATTGTAACTTATTTAGAAATTTTCAGTATGTTAACACCACGATATACTGTAGTCTTCATTTGTGGATAGATATTTCATACATAGGTATTATCATAGAAGTTGAAATAGTTTATACCGCTTCAAATCTGTTGTGAACTCGTTTTTTAAAATTCAGTGATTATTCCAAAGTGTATCTATCGTGTACTTGAAACATAAAGAGGCTTTTGTCTCAATAAAGTTCAAATTATTTTTTTTCAAAAATCCAACGTCCTGAGCTTTTTTTACTGATCTACTTATTATTATTATTGCATTGATACAATAATTTTCCATTTATCGAATATTATTATTAGTGCTAATAGTACTTATACTACTACTACCACTGATACTGTCAATACAAGATATAAATATTTTCTATACAGTTGGTTCAAACAAATATGACAATCAAAATGTTTCATTTATAATTAGGCAATATGGGCGAAAAGTATTTTCTAGTACTTCTTTTTCTGTATGAAAAAATGGTATGGGAACAAAATTAGTTTATATGACAGACAATGAATAGCTAATCTCAGTGAAGCATACGAAAATGGATAGAAGTTTGATGGTATTTTGATTGTTACATTTCATTCAGAGTACCATCCGTACTGTCAAAAGTAGTACATTAGAAAAAGAACCACTTCCCGTTAGATTTATAGTATTTTCATAGTTCAATATTTCTAGTGCTTTTGAGTGATAATTTCCTTTAAGGCAATTGATTATTTATTCTACAGATAGCAAAATTCATATCTTTGTGCAACAGAATTTTTACTGAGAATCAGACACTTTGAATAGGATACTTTATAGGTACCAATGATTTAATTTACCCGCATTTATTTAACCAATAACATTCAACCATCTTTTGCATTATATCACAACATTGAAACTATATGTCTTATAACCACTGTGTTAATATATATCTTCATATGGGTTATGTACTATAAAATACAACCATTGTAAAACCAGTCTCGTAAATGTACGAAAAGTACTTATCAGAATAAAAAGGAAGAAGAACCAGTACATCGGACAAGAGACTCTATTCAGTGAGTTCAGTCATAGTGCAATGCAATCGCAAATATTATATGTAGTACATTATATAATACTATATATTATAGTATATATAATATCGCATTTGTCACCTTCCAAAAGCAATACTCCTTATCTCCATCTAAACAAAAAGTAAATCAACTTTTATAATAGATGCAACCTGAATCATATTTCGTATTTGTTCAGTAGTTGTCACTCCCTTGTCAAACTAACTTGAATTAAAAAATTACATGAAAAGACTATTCCTTAATAAAAAATGGACATGAAAAACTGATTAGATATTGAGAAAATAGGCTGACAAGAAACCTATTTGAAATGTTCAGCCAACAAACCTTTGCATCAGTGTTTTCTAAAACTGCAGGAAAGTCTCTTTAAATTTCATGCCACTCGTTTTCAGTGAATTTAGATGTGATATAAGAAAAGATTTTTCTTCTCAGGAAATCTTGACCCAAAATGAGTACCACACACTTCTTGCCGACAAAAGAATTTCAACCAAAATCCATGAAGGCAGATTCGCTTCTGCACTGAAAACATGCTGTTAAGAAATCTAGCCTTTAAACTGTGATCCACTGGCTGATATTCCAAAAGAAGGATATTAGTCGCCCCTCGAAGAACATTCTTTGCACCACCTTTGGAACCGGCATTCACTTATTGCTTATTTTTCTTTAATAACGTGAAAGACCAGCTAACGTGTCTGATTCTGTCGAACAAAGTATATGGATCATTCGATACAAATTTATTCCAAAAGCATCCAACAACAGTATCCTACATTACGGAAAAGAGGAGATAATAAGTGTACATTGTCGGCAGTGACTATTCTATTCCAAGGAAGGCAGCCTTCAAAGTTGTTTATGAAATAAAACAACATTTTTGCAAAGGTTGAACGCTTTGACACTCATCATATCACTGAGAACCTGGTTATCTACTTATAAATTCTGACTCACATATACGAAAATACTGCTTGACCCTTTCTTCTCTTAAAGTCTTTATTTCAAGTCACCATTGGTTTTGCTTTTTTCGTTTGCTTACAAATCAGTTGCTGCCTTCATTATATCTTTTTCTTATGTACTTTTTATTTGTTCCTGTTTTTATACACTTTTTGACGATATCTGATCCGTCGTTAAGTTAAACAAGGCCTCATCTGAATAAGATTTATTCATCTTCAACTATGTTTTGAATAATCACTATTCATAACGGTTATGATTTTTTTTGTAATTTTGTTTACTGCCATTTCCAACGTTCTACAGTAACTATCTAATTCACTAAGATATTTCACTTAGAAGTTTATGCTTATTTCTGACTGCAAAGTTTTTAAAAAATGAAAGTACTAAGAAGATTTTATTCGCCAGCTTCATGAACAGCACCAAATAAAATTCATGTCATGATCAAAATGTTTGGTTCATCATAGTAGTGGCTCGGTGAATCGTGTCACTCAGTAATTCAGAGAAGCATACCAAGTGTTTACGAAATTTGTAGTACAGATTCGATGAGCACAATGTAACCACTTCCGATTGCAGAATTTTACTGACAAGAATATCAAGACTGTAAACGTCTGGTCTGTTTGATACGTACTATTATCAACAATAGTAGCAGATGGCCGTATCTAAATAACGAGTTCAGTTGCTGTTCTTATCTGTTAAAGTTGAGCTCAGTAATGATATTTCTAGATTACTTTAGCATACGGTAGCAATATTATCATGCCACACAAAGTATAGATTTTAAGGCTAATTGGTTTTAGGCGAAAATTAACTTGGTGTTTGTGCCATACACCTCTACTGTGGGAATGCTGCTCTTAAAAGTAACCTGCATATTTTCATAACAGTTTTGCCCCCTAGTTTAGTCAGTAGTATCCAGCACAAAACTAACTCAACAGGATTCATATACTAAAGAAAAACTTAAGTGTGTTGAGAGGACCAGGATGTGAGTTTAATAGGAAGTTGAATAGAAGACACTTTCGAAGTGATCAAACTTTTTAAATAATAATTATTATTTCAACGAATTAAAACTATATTTAAAGTTGTTACCAGATGAGTGGATCTACAGTTACGTGAAGGTAAAATTATTGGTACTAGAACGACGTGATATGCTCATTAGGTGTAAATTATATATTTTACAATATCTACGTAATTACTGTTGGGGCGTGGGAAAAGAAAATTTTGAAATATAGTAAACCAAGATGGATACTCTTTATTTTTTTACATTTTCACTAACCTTATAGTATTAGGTGTCGTAACTTCTGTTGTTATTCATTATAAGTAAATCACTTCTGTGGAAGCAAGTGAGTAGTCTACGAATGGGCACAATTTCATCAGTTTTAAAAAATCTGTGACTTTATTTTTATACCTTTTTCTATTAAAAAGTACGAGTCATAAAATAGTGTCGTTATTAAAGAATGTAATTATCAATATTTTTTTCACACATAGAACCAAACAAAAAAATATGGACACATTTGAGATTTTCGACTGATGATTCCGATCTATCACATTTTTACACTGTCGATAGTACTTCACATTCACCGATGACTTCTAAAGATGAAAATTCTTTACTAACAGTGAAAACAATTACAATAAATGAAAATGCCAATTTGACTTTATTTTGTATATTTGAAAGTGCTCCAGTTGTTTCAACACGCTGGTATTTTAATGGATTCATTGATAATATTGAAATTAACCGAAAATTTGGTAAGCCACAACATTAACTGTTTTCCGATAACTGACAAATTCGTGTTTGAGGTATGCAATGTAGATATTGTTCTTGTTGCTTATAAGAATCTATGTCACCAACATTTATCAGTTCCTATATTTACAAAGCAAGTTAATTTGATGATTATATTCAGTGGAGATTGATATCTTTTTAAAACCACTGATACCCTTGCTTCATTAGAACACTAAGGATTTCATACTGAAGGTTACTGCTTAGTGAAATACTGTTTTCCGAATCCTTCAGATATGAATATTCATTATTGGATCCAAGATATTGTTGGTAGTAGGGAGAACTAAGGGAATCTCGATAAAATGGAACCGAAGCTGAGAATAGCTCATCATAAAAATGGAGATCGGACTATTGAAAATGCTGATTAATTGATTCATTTGGAAAAATATAACCAGATGGTTTTCACTCTGACTTCAGTCAGTCTTACTTCAAAACGCTTTTTTAATGTGAAACGTTGTGAAGTTATGGCATCAACGTGGTTTTCGAACTTAGGTTCAACACCGAGGAAATTAATTGTTAAGAAGCCCTTGGTTCCATTCAAGGTAACAAACTAAACTGCGATCAGAAAAATAAAGCATTGGAAGTTATTTAATTAAAGCCTAGTGTAACCAAGTGGTTGAATATGAGGTACATTACGTTGGGAAATGATTACCATATTCCAGACTAGTAGTTAAAACGATATTACATAGAATAAAGATTCGACCGTCTCATGCCATTAATCGTGAAGTAAAATCGCAACGGGAGGAATCGGTAATTGAAAATTGAAAACCAGTGGACGTTCAGTTAAGACAGTTTGTTTTATGAAGTGACCACGATAATTCAAAGGCATGTATGTATATATACTCATGACAGTTCAACCACGTTACCTACATAAAACCTTGGTCTTATACAGAAGTCAGTATGGAAACATTTAGGCAATCATGTGCTAATGAACTGTGGATAGAAAACTTTAAACCAAAGGTTTTAATGACATGATTCATTTCATAGTGCATTTTGTGATGGATTATATTCACCTAGGAAACTACTAAAAACTTGGAAGCATTAAACAACCCCCTCCCATAATCTTGGATATGTACTGCCTAAAAGTAGGAAGGTACGACGGAGAAGCTGTTCATGGATTTAATGTTGTGATTAACTGTTTAGGTGACAATTTGTGTTGAAAACTGTGTTTATACACATATTGAATACGAAATGAGTAGCTGTGAACAGTCGACCACAAATACCGTAGTTAGTGTACTATCAGTTATATACGGGAATATATTTATTATGTTGTTCATATAACCGAACAGAGATCTAACTATAAACTCATAAGAGGGCAACGAACTACTTTCGAACAAGAATTTTATTGCCTCCGACCAGATGAGAACACAAATAATTTTTAAGAATAACAATAAAGAGGTAATCTTACCTTAATCGTTACCCTGAATATGTTGTTCATAAATCCTGAGGTGGATTTCCTAGATGTTGTAAGCATGAATGATAAACTCCAGATATCATAAATAATTTCGCCATAAGTAAACACGTAGGTATGGTCATTTTGGCTTTTAGTGCGGAGAACCATACCATTAGTAGCGCTTTTGATAAACCTTAAGAAACCACCTTTGCAATTAGATGCTCATGACTTAAAAAAATTAGTGTGTAGCCATTTTATTTAGATTTATTTCAAATTTCCCTGGAATTTCATTTTGGTAGTTCATAGTTGGCCTTCTCCCAGTGCTCTTGCTTTCATATTACTGTAGACACCCATCCTATAGTGGGTTGGAGTGCAGGCTTACTGAGAATAAGACCTGTATTGAATGATTGTTAGGCTTCAGTAATATTACTGCTTCACCTTGGAATAGCAAAAGGCTCACGTGACGAAATATTAACATCAGTATTTGAAGCTCAATCAGAGCGTTCGCAGGTTTACCTCAGAAATCTGCTTAGGCAAACATTCATACCTCAGTTAAAACTACTGTTTGTAAAGGCAAATAAATATATAGCAAATAAGTGTCAATTAATTAAGGCATGATGTTGTAATTAGTTTCAATGAAAATATGTTGTTTGTTTCACCTATTAATATACCAACTATGGTTTCACAAACAATGTGCAGATATAACGTCTTCCAAAATAAATTACTCATCTTATGTCATTAGGTAGACATGAAAAGTGAAGTGTGTGAACAGCTAGCTTACGTAAGAAATCCGCATTTCAGGAAAGCTTTAGTTATCAAAATCATGACCCTTAACCGTGCCCACGAAAATATCACCATTGGTACAAAAGATACAATAGACAGGGAAATCTAAAAACGTCAGGTCCTATTACTAATAGTGCAGACCGGGATTACGAATACACTGATGAGCATCCACTGTAATATGGTTTTTGAGTTGGAGGTCTTGGATAAAACTTGCTGATTCCATATTGTAATAGATAATCCCAAAAATCAAAACTCTAATTTCACATGAATTGATGTGACTAATACTCAACTTGGCAGGAAACAAATGTATAAGTATTCCTCTTGTAGCCTTTGTGTCAGTATTCTCCACCGTTTGTACTCTGCAGTTTTATAAGAGATCTTAATATTAAATAAAATCACAGGACATTTCATCAGTTATTTCATTGCAAACAGATAAATGTAGGCATGGATTTGATCTCGGATACGTAAGGATTTTATACACAGGTAACATGAGTATTGCCAGAGAATATCTAGAAGCTTGACACTCAGGTAAATCAGCAGGTAATAGGTGTGTGAATATGGATCTAGTCTACGTACCAATAAGAAAAATAAAAAGTGTTGAGTCTCAACCACCGTTATGATCATGGGAAGTACATTTTCAAGAAACAATACCAAAGCCTAGAAATTTGAACTTTGTGCATAAAAATTCATCTTAAATTTATTCATAATAGATGGGAAACAATGCTTCGAGTAGTAATGAGAATCTGTCGATGCTCATCTTATAATCTACGTTCATCCAACTTCAGAGTTTTAAGTTGAAAAGCTTGTTCACTCTCACTGTATAGTCTAAAGTTGACAAATATTTCGTTTTCTATCGGGATAGTTCTAGGAAATTATTCAGTACTTTTCTCTCGTAGTGAATGTCTTCTAAAGAAAAATATTTTTATGCAGTTTAAAAAATTATAACGCAGCCCTGGTGTCACAACCACGTTCAAGTGAGGGCAAAAATATATCAAATTACGAAACAAATCTAAGAATAGTAAGCCCATGTAACATTTAAAAGGTCGTGATTTACCCTGTGAGGAAGTCTACACACCAACTTAGTGACATCACGCAAACCTTTCGATCGTAACTACTCATTGTTATTCTCCGTATAATTTCTTCTGCACAGATATATAAAAGTTTGAAAACTTCACTTGAGTCCTCTTTTTAAATAGGTACATTAATTATCAAGTATGTCAGACAAGAGAACGAAGGCATTTACACTTGCTCGGTGGACAACTCCGATTCCAAACTTATTGGAAAATCTTTTAGAATTGTTGTTACAAGTAAGTGTTCAACTTTTTTTTCCTGTCAGTTATTCATTATAAAGTATTATAATTTGTAATTGCTGTTTAAATTTTACTTTACGCTGACGAAAATAACTGCGTAAAATCAAACAATTAGGCATACAACCAACCTGTAAGAAACTCATTTTCTTTTAGAGATTTAAATGTTCTTTATTCAGTGCTGGAGTCAGTGGTTTCTCTGTTGCGCTGCTCTGATCAGAATTAAACCCATATATTTAAACTGTTTAGCAAATAGTTAGGGATTTAGTGGTTAGGTCCTAAACTCTGAGCGCTCACGTAAATATGCAGGTCAAATTTGCAGTCTGAAAAATAAGCTGAGATAAGATATTAGGATTCTCTATCCTTTTAGTGTAAAGAACTAGTTGTGAGAAAGATGCTGAAGGCTAAGTTTGACTACCCTTAGCCACTTAGAGCTACACTAACCAGATCAGCAACCACATATAGAGAAATCATTTCCTAAAATGAGCCAGTTATGGACTAAGTATCTAAGTGATGATACTTCTAAGCATACTTCTCAGTGAATCGCATTTGAATCTTAGGGCTGAAGTAGGTTTCTGCAGGGATGCAGATACTTTTTACTAAAAAACCCCAGTAAACACAAGACGGCAATCAAGCAGGGAGTGCTTATCAACTTACTTTTAACACTCGTGTATGATGTGAGAGAACTAATCCAACAATCAACACAAAACCTGTAAATGATTGATTGACGATTACGGCAACTTAGAGCTATTCTTATCGACTTACTTTTCATCTATCTTTGGTTGCATATCATTGACCATCAACCATTCTGCTCAGTAAGCTGGTATTGAACCACTGGTAGAAACATTTTGAAGTATAACTTTAGTACTTGATAAGGGCACTAAGGTTACTGCATAATTGGAATTAGCTTCGATGTCAAAGGTAGTTATTGTAGTTCATGAGGAATTGGTTGTATAAATTCGACAACTATCATACATAACAGTAAACTCATCTACGGCTTTTGAATGCATCTGTTAGAGTAAACTGCTTTTGGACTAGGAGTCCTTTAAAGTCTTTCTTAATTAAGAAAAATTAAACACCTGTTTAGTGTGTGTCTAAGCGATTTAAATTAAGTACATACTAAGCTTGAAACTCAGCTAAATGTTTGAAATGAGTTCATTTCAGTGACACTGAATCTAACTCTGTTAACATCACATGATTTCCTGTCAGCTAAAGCAACTTCACCCACAGAGAGGAACGTTCACCCCCAGTTTCCCAGTCGAACAAAGCGAATGCTTGAAGTATCCTCGACTGTTGGCAAACTTAAGTTGAGCTTGAGCTAACCACTGTAGCCACATGACTTTAAACCCCTGGGTCATGAGTTTGAATTCACTCCATGTAACAAAGTCAATGCAGACAGGTGGTATCATAAACCTTCACACAACAGGTGTACCTCATTATTATTGTCTTAGTATTTTTCCCTTGGGTTCCTAATGGAACATAGGGCTTCAATAGCACGTCTCCAGTGCACTATGTTATCTGAAGTATTTTGAACCTGGCTCCGCGACAGCCCACAAGCTCTCATTTCCTCCTCACACGATCTCCTCTATGTCACCCTCTCCTCGGACGCCCAACTCGTCGCTTCCTATAGGGGTTCCACTCGAGCAACTGGCCTGACGCGTGATGTCCCCAGTCGGCCTCCTCAGTGTATGCCCAATCCATCTCCACTTTCTTCTTCATACTTGTTAGGTAATAGGTTATTGGTTGGTCCGTTCCCAGAGCTCCTTGTTGCTTATTCTTTCTGGCCATCTGATCCTCAGTATCGAGCCAGTGTAGGCAGTTGTTGATGAATGTCTGCAGTTTGTTGGAAATCCCTTTCGTAACACGCCGTCTCTGAGCCATAAAAAAGCACTGACTTGACGTTGGTGTTGAAAATCCGCATCTTGTTCCACATGCTGAGTGCAGATTTCCACACTGGTTTCAGGCTAATGAACGCCTCTCTTGCTTTTTCGATCCTGGTTGCTTTTACGTCCTCGTCAGTGCAGCCTGTAATTGAAACGATGCTGCCTAGATAGGTGAAAGAGACTACATCCTTTGAAATTCTACCGCTGATGGTGATTGAAGCTTGTTGCTGTTGGTGGTGTTGGTTGGGTATCTTCATCACCTCTGTCTTCTCTACGTTCACTTGAAGTCCCGTCTTCCTTCACTGCCCTTCCTCTTCTGTCAACTTGTTAATTTTTGACTAAAGATCTTAGAGCTTGTGCGACATTAGACACAAATCATTGGCGAAATCCAAATCTTCTAGGATCTTTTCCCCGTTTCAGTATATCCCCTCTTCTCGCTCCTCACCGTTTGTTGCATGATACAGTCCACTACAATCAGGAATATCATGGGTGATAGTAGACAATTTTGACTTACTCCTGTCTTCTCTTCAAAGGCATCATTGAGCTTCCCATTGTGAATTATGTGGCATGTGGCTTCTTCATGCAGTTATTGAATGAGATTGATTAAGGTTTGCGGTATTCCGTAGTGTTGAAGCAGTTTCCAAATTAATTCTCACTAGACGCTGCCAAAAGCCTTTTCAAAGTCAATGAAGTTGAGGTAGAGAGTTGACTGCCATTCTATACTTTGTTCTATGATGAAGCGAAACGTTGCAATCTGGTCCGCACATGATTTGTCCTTCCTGAATCCAGCCAGCCTATTCCGGCTATAGTCTTGAGTCTTGAACATTTTTCACTCTCTCTAGGATGGTGCGTCTTAATGTTTTGCTTCGGATGGACAGGAGCGTGATCCCGCGCCAGTGCTTGCAAAGACTTAGGTTGCCCTTTTCCCAATCATTAGGCAGGTACCTTCCCTTCCTTCCACACCTTCTGCAATAGTGGTGTGAGCATGTCCGCTGTTTTCTTTGCATCTGCTCTCAGTGCTTCCGGCGGGATCCCATCTGGTCCTGCTGCTTTCCCGCATTTCAATAGCTTTATGGCGCTCAAAACTTCTACTTTTGTTGGAGGATTTGTGTTCACTTGTAGTTCTGTGGCTGGGCTGCAGGTGGTATTTCTGGACGAAGTGCAGGTGGTGAGGGTGGTCGATTCAAGAGCTTTTCAAAGTGGTCAGCCAATCGTTTCCTTTGTTTCTCTTCTCTGGCGATAAGATTTCCTTCATCATCTTTTATTGGTTTCATCTGTGTTGATCTCTTCCCTGCCAGATAGCAACCTGGTTATTTGATACAATGTTGTCAGGTCTTTCCTACCTGCAGCCTGTTCTGCTTCACTTGCCAGTGTATCATGGAAGTGTTCTTTGTCTTTCTGCGCACTCTTCTTCACTCCATTGTCCAGTGTAGTGTTTTATACATTGTACTAAGTTCTTCTTCTCGTTGTGCATCCTTGCACCGGTTTATCTTCTACTTCATTATCCTCCTCTCCCTCCCCATCAGCTTCCATGTGTCCGTCAAAATCCAGTCCCTGTCCTGTCTTCTTCCTTCCTAATACGGTTATGCAGATTTCCTTCCACACCTCTTTCAAAGAGTTCCAGTGTTCATTCACACACGTTTCTTCAGGGATGTTGTTGGATATCTCCAAATTTGTCTTGATGGCTGATGTGAAGCTTTCCTTTGCAGTTTCGTCCTCCAGTTCAGTTTCAGTTCTGTGTGTTGAACTCGAACTGTGGTCCATCACCAGCTTCCTTGAAGGCATTCAACTTGATTCGGAAGGTTTCTTGCACTAGATAGTGATCTGAGCCTACATCTGCTCCCCTGCTTGACCTTGTGTCAAGTAGGCTGCGTCTCTACATTCTTCACATTGAGACAAAGTCGTCTGATTTTTAGTGTGTCCCGTTGTTTGCTGAAATCCATGTCGCTGACTTGTGGATATCCTTGTGCTTGAACACGCTGCCTCAAGTAACCAAATCATTGAATGTACAGAATTCTGCAAACAATTCTCATTCTCGTTCATCACCTCACCGAGCGCTTCTCGACCCATGGTTAGTTCTCTTCCTGTGTTGTCTGCTCCCAGTTTGGCATTCAGGTCGTCCATTAAAATTTTGATGTTGCCAACTCAGGTCTTTTCCAGTGCTGATTGCAGTTGTCTGTAGAATTCCTCCTTCTTCTCTTCATCTGCATTATTTGTAGGTGCGTAGCATAGGGTTGTACGATTATGACTTTCCTTCCTTTTGAGTTGAATCTTGCTGTCATGATCCTGGAGGAGGAGACTGGTTCCCACTGCATGAGAGAGAGCCTTTGATGCTGTTGGGGACATCATGATAGCCACTCCATAACTCAGTGTGCTTGTGGTTGTCGTCAGGGCGACAATATTGGAACAGACTGCTGATTCTGGAGCTGACAGTTTGGAGAGTCCACTCCCATTCCATCTGCTTTCGCAAATTCCTAACACTTCAATGAGATACATTCTCATCTGTTTTGCAATCTGAACAGCCTTCGTGGGTTCAAACATGGTGCGGACATTCCATGTCCCTAATCTTACTTTTGCTTTCATCGAGAGAAGACACATCGGCCAATTGGTTTCCCGAAGGCTTTAACCAACCGGTGTCATTTCGTCCCTCTGATTCTTGCGTGGATTAAGTTTGTTTTTATTTCTTATATTTTGTTTATGCTTTGAAGTTTCTTTAGCGGTTAGATTTGTTTTACGGGGTAGGGCTGCTAACCCTGTTCCCAACATCCCCTCTTTACCCGGGCTTAGGACTGGCTAATAACTAGTGAACTAGTTAACCAGGCGAGGTTGGTGCACTAAAATATGAAGGAAAAATCCATTAGCATATATAACCATCCAGTGAAATACAAACAGAATATTATTTCCTTTTTATTGTGATTACAAAGTTGCATTCTAACTGAGAAGAATGAATGGGATATTTTTGAGAAGCTAATAACTAAACTTTATTATTGTCAAAAACACTTCGAGCAATTACTAGTCAACGACGAACTAAACGCATTTAAGAAGTGACTACTTTCTCGCTTTATCATTCTACCAAGTAAAGTGATTGTTTTTCGCTTATCGACAACTTGTCTGGCC